GCTGATAAAGAAAACAATGACGATAACTGCAATAGTAACAATAATGAAAATGAAAATGTTAACAATGATAATGATGACAAGACTACTTCTCTCCTCCCGTCACTAATCTTTCTCGCCTTTCCTTCACCTATTTACTCCCCCACCCAGCCACCCCAGCCACCCCAGTCACCCCTCTCCCCACCCCACCACCCAGCCCCCCTCCTCCCCACCCAACGCTTACACCTGAGCCTTCCAGCCACAGACAACACTAAACCACAGACACAGTGGTCACATGGCAACTAAAACAATGACGTCATCAAGAAGGGGCGGAGACAGCAGGGAAGGAGGGGGTGGCGGTCCCTAAGGAAGGGGTGGCGGTTCCTAAGGGAGGGGTGGGGGTGACTATCCCAAATTAATAACGGGGGGCCTTCACGTAGTACTAGGGGTGTCACGAAGTACTAAGGGGGGTGAAGAGTGGGAGCTAGGGTAAGGGGGAGAGGAAGGTGGTGGTAGGAGGAAAGAGGGAAGGGGAAGAGTGGGGATAGAAGGGAGGTTGAAGGGTAGGGAAGGGAGTGGAGGAAGGGCAGGGAAGGGGGGAAAGGGATGGGGAAGGGGAGGGAAGTGGGCAAGGGGTGGCGGGAGCGTAAGAAAGGGGAAGAAGGGTGGGGAAAGGGGTGAGGAAGGGTAGGGGTGGAGAGGGGGGGAAGGTAGGGAAGTGGGTAGGGGGGTAGGGAAGTGGGAGAGGGGGTAGGGGAAGGGTGGGAAGTGGGAGAGGGGGTAGGGGAAGGGTAGGGAAGGGAGAGGGGGGGAAGGGTAGGGAAGTGGGAGAGGGGGTGGGGAAGGTAGTGGGAGAGGGGGTAGGGGAAGGGTAGGAAGTGGGGAGGGGGTAGGGAAGGGTAGGGAAGGGAGAGGGGGTAGGGGAAGGTAAGGAAGTGGGAGAGGGGTAGGGGGGTAGGGAAGTGGGAGAGGGGTTAGGGAAGCGGGTAGGGAGAGGGGTAGGGGAAGGGTAGGAAGTGGATAGGAGGGGGTAGGGGAAGGGGAGGAAGGGTGAAGTGGGAGAGGGGTAGGGGAAGGGTAGGGAAGTGGGAGAGGGGGTAGGGGGAGGGTAGGGTAGGGCCACCAGCATTGCTCAGGTATTGAGGCAGCGTCAGCGAGTATCAAGTCAAGGTTTGTTTGGCAGATCAAATACCGTTGCTGTTTGAACCATTTTCCCAGTTATTTTTTTTATTCACTTCTCAAGTTATTTCCTTTTCTTCTCTTTTCTTGGCCTCATCTCTATCCCTCTTTTCGTTCTCTTATATCGGTTTTATCATATTTCTCTTTACATTTAAATCATACCACCTATTCCCGTTATATACACAGCATAGTTTATTTGATGGATAAAAAGAAGGATAAATTGATAGATAATCTAATAGACAGATACACAGACACATATATATCCAGAAATAGAAATATAGAGAGATAGATAGACATATATCCATAGACAGAAAAAAAAAAGATTTATAGAATGAATGACAGACAGATGTTGTCTGCGAGGTGGAAGTGCATTCCTTCGTCTTCTGATGCAATATTCATTCCATCCAAGAGCTATACATTTTACTGAAACTCAAAGAAAAAAGAAGAAAGAAAAAAACTTCTAAACTTCCTGTAACATATGACAAAGGAGTGACATTGAGCACCTGACTAGAAGCCGTGGAAGTATGGGATTCTCTCTCTCTCTCTCTCTCTCTCTCTCTCTCTCTCTCTCTCTCTCTCTCTCTCTCTTCTATCTGTCTCTCTCCTCCCCTTCTCTGTCTGTCTGTCCTCTCTCTCTTCTCCTCTCTGTCTCTCTCTCTCTCTCTCTCCTCTCTCTCTCCTCTCTCCCTCTCTCTCCTTCTCTCTCTCTTCTCCCTCTCCTCTCCCCTCTCTCTCTCTCACTGTAACTCACACACACACACACACACTAACACAGACAGCTAAGGTCACGCATCTTCCCAAACGACCTCAACTTTAAAGATCTTCCCATCAAAGAAAGGACAGACACGCACTCTCCCACACCCTCCTCTCACACCCTTTCCTCCTAGTCCTATCGTCCTCCTACATTGCATAAAGCGAATATCAAACTACGAAATGTTGGATTATAGTCGTTATAGTGGAGGGAGGGAAGAGGGAGAAGGAAAAGAGGGGAAGAGGAGGCAGGAAGGGGAAAGGGAAAAAGGGAGAGGAGACGAAGGGGAAAGAGGGGAAGGTAAGGAAGAGGAAGAGAGAAGAGAGAGAGAGAAGAGAGAGAGGAGAGAGAGAGAGAGGAGAGAGAGAGAGAGAGAGAGAGAGAGATGAGAGAGAGAGAGAGAGAAGAGAGAAAAGAGAAGAAGAAAAAAGAAAGAGAAAAAATAAAAAATATTCCAAAAGGTTAACACTGCACGCATAGGCCGCGCCTCCACGCCCCCCCCCCCCCTTCGGCTCGCCCCCCTCCCGCCCTCCCTCCCCCTCCCTCCCCCTCCCGCCCTCCCTCCCCTCCCGCCCTCCCGCCCAGACCATGAGCATCAAACTCTAAATTCTACGCCTTACTAATAGTCCTTGATAGACCTCCCCTCTATTTCTCTTCTTTTGTTATCCATTTTCATATATATTCACTCATCTCTCTACTTTTTTATCATTATTACTTTTTTTTTATTGAAGTTCGGATCGATCAAGCACTTTGGAGACGAACTTGCAGGAAAATAAAATAAGGAAAAAAAAAAAAACAAAAACAAACCAAATATTCCTGAAAAGATGATGGCAAGGACGCTATTCTTGCAACACTGACCAACGTGTTCTTAATAACCAGCAGTTGCTTGCGATTGCAGGATAAATATTGCAAAAATCAGCCCGATACTTTTAGCTTTATCTTTTCACCCTGATATGAACTTTCTTTTCCTTTTTTTAATCGAACTTTAATTCTATAAACTTTTTAGCTTTAAATGAACTTTCTTATTTTATTTTTTAATCGAACTTTAATTCTTAAACCCTTTTAGCTTTATATGAACTTTCTTTCCTTTTTTAATCGAACTTTAATTCTATAAACCTTTTTAGCTTTAATGAACTTTTCTTTTTTTTTTTAATCGAACTTTAATTCTTAAACCCTTTTAGCTTTTATGAACTTTCTTTTCCTTTTTTTTAATCGAACTTTAATTCTATAAACCTTTTTAGCTTTAAATGAACTTCTTATTTTTTTTTTAATCGAACTTTATTCTTAAACCCTTTTGCTTTATATGAACTTTCTTTCCTTTTTTAATCGAACTTTAATTCTATAAACCTTTTTAGCTTTAAATGAACTTTCTTATTTTATTTTTAATCGAACTTTAATTCTTAAACCTTTTTAGCTTTATATGAACTTTCTTTTCCTTTTTTTAATCGAACTTTAATTCTATCTTAAACCTTTTTATTTAAATGAACTTTTTATTTTTTAATCGAATTTAATTCTTTAAACTCCCTTTTTAGCTTTATATGAACTTTTCTTTTTTTTTTTAATCGAACTTTAATTCTATAAAACCTTTTTTAGCTTTAAATGAACTTTCTTATTTATTATTTTTAATCGAACTTTAATTCTTAAACCCTTTTAGCTTTATATGAACTTTCTTTTTCTTTTTAAACGAACTTTAATCTTAACCTTTCACCCTAATATGAACTTCTTTTCTTTTTTAACCAAAACTTTAATTCTATCTTAAACCTTTCATAAGAAAACACTAGGCGACGCATACATCAATATGTCTTAAGGTTGATTCTTCTATGAAACACAATGTTCGATCACGGAAAAACGGACGCAGTCCACCGCTGGTCTGATATCGTGACAGAAGATACCCGCACCAAAAGAAGAGGGAAGAGAAGAGAGAGAGGGAGAGGGAGAGAGAAGGAGAGAGAGGAGAGGGAGGAGAGAGAGAGAGAGGAGAGGAGAGGGCAGACGAGACAGAGAGGATGAGAGAGGGCCGTCTGAGGGGGGAGAGGGAGAGGAGGAGAGAGAGGGAGAGAGGGAGCAGAGAGAGAGAGAGAGAGAGAGAAGAGATGATGAGAGAGAGAAGAGAGAAAGAGAGAGGAGAGAGAGAGAGAGAGAGAGATGATAATAAAGACGACGGGATGGCTGGCAGGGGTATTCCAATGAGAAACCGAAAAAGTAGGCGGAGAGATAACAAGATAATTACACCCGAAATACTGGGGTGTGATATTCGCCCATCTATTTTATATCGTGCGTATTTAAATTCCTCTCCGAATCCTTCCCTTCTCTATTCTCTCTATTATCTCTCTCTCTCTCTCTCTCTCTCTCTCTCTCTCTCTCTCTCTCTCTCTCTCTCTCTCTCTCTCTCTCTCTCTCTCTCTCCTCTCTCTCTCTCTCTCTCTCTCGCTCTCTCCCTCTCTCTCTCTCTCTCTCTCTCTCTCTCTCTCTCTCTCTCTCTCTCTCTCCTCTCTCTCTCGCTCGCTCTCCCTCCCTTTCCTCCCTCTCTCCCTCTCTATCTCTCTCTCTCTCCCTCCCTCTCTCTCTCTCTCTCTCTCTCTCTCTCTCTCTCTCTCACTCTCACTCTCTCTTCTTCCATTTCCTTTCACTCATATCTCACTCATAATCGCCCCCGCTCGCCACTCCTTCCTTCACTAATAAGAGTGATAACAGCTGACCAAATATCACAAACCATAATCAACCTGCATTTATAACCATGCATAATAACTCAGCTAAATACAGTATCTGGGAATTTTAAAAATAATAATGATATAAATAAACAATAAAATAAAATAAAAATTCACGTTATTCACGCGCCGAACTACTTAAAAAAAAAAAACACATATCAAATAATTTATCAAAGGATAAAAGAGAGAGAGAGAGAGAGAGAGAGAGGAGAGAGAGAGAGGAGAGAGAGAGAGAGAGAGAGATGAGAGGAGAGAGAGAGAGAGAGAGAGAGAGAGAGAGAGAGAGAGAGAGAACGATTTACACGTCGAACTAATTAAAAATAACTATCAACTAATTTATCCAACAATAAACAAGAAAAGAAAGAAAGAAAAAAAACACTACTTACCCGTATAAGGTGTTCTATTGCGCTATATGTAACAACAACGCCCATCCGCGTGGTTATGTTATTGCGACACGGAATCGGACACCGCGCTTCTTTACTTTGCTACACACCTTTAACAAATTAGGAAAAATAAAGCAACGTACTTTGCCGAGAGAGGAAGAATGGGCGATTTCAATAAAATGCGGGAACGGGAACAGGCGGAACCACAGCTTTTGCGTGGAAAACAAGAGGAATAAAAATCAAATTTAACCAACAAATTTCAGAAGTCAGGGTGTTGGGCAAAGGAAGGCGAGAGAAGAATCACGTGCGGGATCCAATACGCGCGGCTCGAGGATGAAGTATTAATCGTGGAGCAGGAATAAGGAAGCCAGGGCGGAGCGAAATGGAGGCCGCGGGAATGGTATTCTTCTTTTGTGCGGCTTCGAGAGCGGGTCGATATAAACTAATAGCGAGCGGTGAACCGGAATTACCGTAGAAGCATTTGGACTCGAGTACATCGGGTCCGTTCAAAAAAAACACTTCTGGGTCCAACGGCCAAACGAACTAAAATTTGGAAATAAAAAATAAGGCAACAGCATTGCGGAGGAAGAAAATTAGGTAAAGAGGGAATAAGAGACATGGGGGAGGGCAGCGCGGGAAGGGGCGAGGGCAAGATGGAAAGCAGAAAAAGGGAGCGCTTGAGGTCGAGCTGGTGAGTCATTGGTGCTGCGGACGCGTAACAAACACCATTTAGCAAAAGAAATAGTTAGAAGAGACAACTGGACACACCTTAGATGGGGGACTATAAAAACTATAATAACACCTTGCTACTCATTAACTCTGGACAAGTATCCAATACATTTGGAAAACGCCATAAAAAAATTTGCGATAAATAAAAAATAGCGAAGATCGAGGAATCGTCTGCGCGGCGAGAATATAGGGCAGGGGCACACGCATAAACGGGAAAAAGATACAAGAAATAACGCTGGAATGTTCGAAATTGACGGGGCGGGAATTGATAGCTAGCATATAGAAAATACGCGGAGAAAAAAGCAATGGCCAAATCACGATTCACTTAGAGTACCTTCTCCTTCACGAAGTGCAGCTGGTCAGCAGAAACAACTGCGGTGGTATTCTCGCTGAAGCCGATATACTTATAGGCCTGATGGCTCGGATGGGGAAGATGCGAAGAAAAGAGGGGGACTGGCCAGGAGGTGCGATGGAAGTCGCACGGGATGGGGAGATGGGTGGTGCCGAGTTTCTTCGATGAATGCTTTGGAAAAATAAAAATATAATAGTAAAGAAGTCAGGGTTAGGAGTGGTATATATATTTTTTTTTACGTCAGGCATGGGCAAGCTAAGAAGCAGGATGGGGAGGCAGAGAGGAGAGGAGGGGAAGGAGGATCCGAATGAATAAAGGGAGGGGGAGGGCGGGAGATGTAAACAAACAAACGAAGCGAGGGGGATCGACTGATTCAGGATAGTAAAAGCCGGAATGAAGAGGTTATATCAAAAAAGCCAAATCCGGCTGGTTAACTCAAATTTTAAATTGGACCTCTCTCCATTAAGAAGGAGGAAGCAGCGCGGACTTGCGTCATGATGTAAAAGGGGGTACGAAGTCCTGAATACGACAACGCAAGAGGACGGAGAAAGCAGCGGAAAGATTTTTAGAAAAAGAGAAGGCAGGGAGGGGAGGCGAGGGGAGATGTGGGAAGGGGAAAACAAAACAAGAAAGAAAAGGGCGGGGGGGGAGGAGGAGCGGAGGATAGGAGATGTGCAGAGGCAACGAAAAAGAGGGAGGAGGGACGCGCAAGGATATGTCGGGCGAGNTCCATCGTCTGGGTTGTAAACATTTTAAAGTGGTTGGTGTTTGCGCACCACGCACGCACAACAGGCACACAGAACACACACCTCACACACATTAACACACACCACACACACCAGCACACACACACACACACACACACAACAACACAAACGACACACACACTCACACCCACACACACACACACACACAACACACACACACACACACACACGCACACACACACACACACACACACACACACACACACACAACACACACACACACACAACACATCACCACACCACACACACAACTACTACAGAAGTTACAACTATTTCTTTCTATCTTTTATCGAAATGTCTAATCACGGCAACATATGCAAAAAAAAAAAAAAAAAAAAAAAAAAAAAAAACAAAAAAAAAAGCGATACTAAAAATGATTAAATTCCAAACGCGAATGATACATTCAATCAAGCTGTGAGATTCCTAGTGATTAAATGAATATTTAACAAAGAAGTGATCATATGATACCAAAATGAATAAAGAAATGTCTAACACAGAAGTGATATGATACCAAAATGAGTAAAGAAATGTCTAACAGAAAACAAGAAGATACCAAAATGAGTAAAGAGATATTCTAAGAGAAACAGATATGATAACAAAATGAGTAAAGAATATCTACAGAGAAGTGATTGATACGAAAAGAAATAATGAAATATGACCAAAATGAGTAAAGAATATCTAACAGAAGAAGTGAATATGATACCAAAAATAAGGAAAAGAAAAATATCTACCAAAAAGAGACATGTTACCAAATGAGTAAAGAGATATCTAACAGAAAAGAATGATCTGATTATCCAAAATGAGTAAGAAAGAGATGAAGTGTCAGAAAAGAAGATATATACCAAAAATGGAGTAAGAAGTGTCTAACAGAGAATGATATGATACCAAAAATCAAAGAAACTATAATTAACAGAAATAGAAGAGATATGATACCCAAAATGAGGAAAGAAATGTCTAACAGAGAGTCAGTGAATATGATAACCAAACATGAGTAAAGAAATATCTACCAGAAAAGAGACATGATACCAATGAGTAAGAAATTGTTTTTATAGAGAATTGACATGATACCAAACGGGCTCGATTGCAAACACATACACAGAGAGTGTGACTTATATACAGGAAATTCTACGTCTATGCAATACGAAGCTTTGCAAGAAATCACAAAGGGAGCCAAACAACTGCTCTGATTGGCTAATTATTCAAAATTATTTGATTGATCTAGAACACAATCTGTGAGTCCGATACACCTGGTACTAATGACGTCATAGATATTGTGTTGAGAGTCAGTCCTGGTACTTTCTTGACGTGTTTACCTTCTTAAAAAAAAAAAAAAAAAAAAAAAAAAAAAAGAGCAGAGAGAGAGAGAGAGAGGAGAGAAGAGAGGAGAGCGAGAGAGAGAGAGAGAGAGAGAGACGGAGAAGAGAGAGAGAGAGGAGGAGAGAACGAGAGAGACGAGAGAGAAAGAAAGAGGAGGAGAAAGAGAGAGAGAAAAGAGAAGATTTTGTTCCATAAGACTCGTGAGGATGATTTTCATTTTTTATTATTTATTATTATTTTGTTTATATAAACTCTCTTAAGAACTTAATGCATGCTCTATATCAGGTTTAATGAACATCTTCAATAATTTTCCTTATAGTTAATACATGTGACTGGAAAAGAAGGTTGCTGTGCCAGGAAAAGAGTTAAATAGATAAAAATGAATAAATAAAATAAAATAAATAAAGATGAATAAAAACAAAAATAAAAATAATAAAGATAAATAAAACCGAATTCGAAAGAGTCTAAATAAAGAAGAAGGTTGCTGCGCCAGGAAAAAGAATAGTTAAATAAAAAAGGAATAAATAAAATCAAATAAATAGAGATAAATAAGTAGATAAGAATTTCAAAAATAAATAAAACCGAATTCGAAAGAGTCTAAATTAAGAAAAGACAAAACAAAAAGCAAACAGGATGTATCTTGACGAATAGAAGGCGTGTCTTCCTAAAAAACAAAAGCTATTCAGAAAATAATTATGGATTAATAAAAGGAACAAGAAGGAGAGGAATTAATTAGAGCCAAGAAACTAATAAAGTGACTTAGAAGTATGAAATACCAAAGAGGGAGCCAGCAAACAAAGGAAATAGTGAATTTGGTTGTGTCATACCAATACCTGGCAAAATAATAAAGCCAGGTGAACAAGACATATAAAAGATGATGAAAAATGTCTTCCAGGAAACGAAGACACGTAAGACAAAAATTGATCACTCAAGAAACGGCATTTATTATATGGAAAGTTTCCCTTTTCTTTTTTTCTTTTTTCTTTCTTTTTCTTAGAAGGTTATACGTGCAAAAGACAACGCAATAGATCGGAAGAAAGGAAAAGGGAAACAGAAAACAACAAAAAAAAAAAAAAAAAAAAAAAATACAAAGAAAGTGGGAAGCTAAAACGAGACACAATTAACCAAAATAATGATGAGAACTTAGGAAATATGCAGGAGGGTTAAACAAAAGAAAACAAAGCATAAAGTAAAAGGAACCAAAAAAGAACACCAAGAAAACAAGAAAATAAGAAGACATACGCAAAAGACATTGGAAACAATGAGAAAGAGAAGGCAAAGATAAAGATGAAGAAGCGATAGGTAGGAAACGATGGGAAAGAGAAGGGAAGGAAGAGATAGAGAAGATAAAGAGGGAGCAGGGGAGAGATATAAAAGAGAAAAAAGAGAAAGGCGAGAGGTAGGAAACGATCAGAAAGAGAAGGCAAAGATAAAGAGGAAGAAGGCGAAAGGTAGACTAAAAAAATGCAGGAAGGGAAAAACAAAAGAAACAAAAAAAAAAATAAAACTGAAACCAAAAAAGAACACCAAAAAAAAAACAAGAAAAATAAGGAGACACACGCAAAGTCGATCTTGGGTATTAATATCAATCTGCTTATAGTCTCATGTTTTTTTTTTTTTTTTTTTTTTTTTTCATTATATAACACTCATCTCGCAGACACGATAACCGCAACTCTTCTTGAGAACCAACCAGCAGTAGAAACTTTTTGCAGGTAAAATATTACGACAGATTATTAACAAGCTGTAAAATGTTTTTATTGAAACGTAGCTTTACTTAAAGCCAAGAAACATCTAATAGATCCAAAGCCCCCCCCTCAAAAAAAGAGTATAATATATATTATAATATATATTATATATATATATATGTGTGTGTGTGTGTGTGTGTGGTTGTGTGTGTGTGTGTGTGTGTGTGTGTGGTGGTGTGTGTTGTG